ACTCTAGGTACGCCTCTGATGCGGGATGTGAGGAACGCTTTACATTATGCTTATTTTTGAAGTGCATGTTCTCCTGGCGTTGTAGTTTGCGGGAAATCAGGGGCGGCGACGTCAAGGAGACCACCCCTTGCGTCAATAGCTGTTTCATTGTTTTCTCAGCATGGCGCCCCAACATCTCAACCGAATAAAGAAGTTGAATATACTTGGCATAATTTATACGTGCAGTTGAAGCAGATGACCTCGTTTTGGATCTGCGCGTTGCAAGTGAGCATAGAAATATGCGCCCTTCCCTTTCGTAATGTCAATTATTATATGTTTCGGAATAGGGCAATTTGGAATCCCGTAAAATGTAAAAGATAAAAATTTCCCGCAAGACTACATTGTTTAGAACAGTGGTTCTCAACCTTCCTAATGCCGCGACATTTTAGTACAGTTCCTCAACGTTATGGTGTCCCCCAACCATAAAATTATGTTCGTTGCTACTTCATTAGTTTTTCTTTTCCGCTGGTCTTAGGCGACTCCTGTGTAAGGGTCGCTCGACTCCCAACCAAAGGGGTAGCGATCCACAGGTTGAGAGCCGCTGGTTTTAGAGAGTACAGGTTCTGTAGTATAAGTTTGGCCCCGTGTAAATGTGGTTCAAAGATTTTTTAAACCAGCCATTTTGAAAACAGACGAACGCTACACTTTTCAAAGATAAAAAAAACTAAGAGCCCCACTCGTGCCAAAAGTAATGAATAATGAAAAGAGTTCAAATGGTCAGGATTAACTCGGACAGAAGGACACAGTTTTGAGTGAGAGGGCATTATTGCTTTAAAAGAAGTACGGTAAGACAATGTCAATAATGTTAAACTTTTTTTTTTTTTTTTTTTTTTTTTTTTTTTTATAAATAAAAAAAAAAAAAAAAAAAAAAAAAAAAACAAAAACAAAAAAAACACGAACCTGTGTGTGGCAGTGGGTGCAAATTGACGTCACCAAAAGAACAGCCTTGACGGTAAGAGAAAGGCAGCTCGGCGTGCTAAAATGCTGTTAAGAATGTTGCGAGAAATTGAGTGTAAGAAAAAATAATGAGATTTTACGAGAGACGAAATGACACTGCGAGGCGATGGTAAGTGTCAGAAAAGTTCAGGATAATTCAAGGTTTCCCTGAGTGGAGCAGCATGTGAATATATATATACATATATATATATATATATATATATATATATATATATATATATATATATATATATATATATATATATATATATAAATATATATAGGGTAATTTAAAAAAAACGGAATAAACCAAGGTTATAATTATATAATCTAACAAGAAACATCATCTCCTACACGGGGCCCACAACCTATTTAGAGCGAGGAACCATTTTCATCAATTACTAGCTAATTTCCCCGGTGTTTCTCGGGTTCGGATTCAGAAGCATTTTTACATCCTCATTAGATACCATTGAAATGGATTTTCTTGCCTACATTCAAATAAAATCCTACAGAATCAACCAGGTGAACATGAAAGTTGGGACCCGGCCATTTTCAGAATCTGACAACACAACGTTTCACCTAACGCCTTGCTTACAGACTAATTTAACCAAAAAAAAATATATAAATGAACGAAAACTCAGGCACAGAACTTATAAGTCTGAACGTTCGATACGGGAAGTGGCTCAATCAGCCATCCGAAAATTTTGTCAGCCCCGAGTCAGCCAGCCACCCACGGACAAAAAAAAAAACAACAAAAAAAAAGAAATTAATATAAAGTTTTTAAAAAGTGTTACTTAAAAAAAAAAAAACTTTTATAAAGCGTCATTTATGTTCTGAAATGTTACGTTGAGGCAAACAATTGTACAATGCTTATATCAAGCAGAGAAGTAGGAGGTACTGGTTAAAATAAATATTTTAAAAAAAATGAGAGACCTTCAAGTACGGAGACAATCTAAGCACTTCCTGTTGACGAACAGTAAATACAAAACATTACCGGGAGAAGAGAAAAAAAAAAACGAACAAGGGGAAATAATAAGCCGCCAAGTGATTGCCATTTAGCTTGCAAGACCTTTTGACTCAATGGTGATCTCCCGCCTATTGTCCCCCTACTCTCTACAGCGGCTGGCTTATTTCGCCGTCAAATTCCCGTTGTACGGCTGCAATAATCTCTCATTGAAATCCCATTCTGTTGAGCCCCCTGTTCAATTATTAAAGAGCGATTTGAGACGTGGATGTTGATGCTGGTTGCCCGCCTAAATCCGGGATTCCGCGGGAACCTTTTGGAAAACATCAAATATGAATACCGGTAACGACGAACTCTTGTGAAAACGACAACAGCCGCTAGATCCATCGCACTTTCAAAGACAGAAAAAACTCTTAGTAGAAGTAGACCTACTATTTTCCTCGCAAACAAACTAAGGACCCTGAACCTAGTTTACTCACATAACCTTTTTTCTTTTTGTTAGAGAAATTTAAAAGTCTTCCTTAAAGTCGGATTATAAAAGGTATAGACTACAACTGAGTGACTCTTATACTAAATAGACGACTGACGGTCTTATTATTTTTTTTTTTTAAAGCGCTCATAAAAGTCTTATGATTAAGGGTTAACAGAAAGTTTTAGATTCAACACTAAACTGAAAAAGTATGAATAATCTCCGGATAGTCTTACCGTGAGCAGCCCTAAAGGTAGTCACCACGAACAGCCCCAATGATTGGCAGGCCACGAATAGCCTTACCGTGAGCAGCCCAACTGATAATCACCGTGAACAGCCTACTGATAGCCGCCAGGAACAGCCCAACAGTTTGTCAGACCATCTACGCCTAGGCTGCTGAAAGCCTTACCATCAACAGCCCTACTGATTGTCAGACCATGAAAAGCCTACTGATGGTCTTACACCCTAATAATGAATCATTTCATCAGAGCCGTTCTTAGGAGTTTGGGGCCCTAAGCATGGAGCGTAGGTTGGGGGCCCCGGAAGGGGGGGTCCGGGGGTGGAGCTCCCTCGAACTGAGAAAAAAACACCACCCACCACTGGGGCACCTCCATTCTGCCTTGATCAACGTTTCCTCCTTCCCATTCCCACGGCCAAGCCCCCGATTTCCTGTCTGCCACCCCAAAGCCCCCCCCCTCCCAATGCTGCTTCCTTCCCCTGCCTCCGAATTCAACTCAGAATGATAAATTTCAGGATGAGGAATACGTGAATAGCGCACTCCGTATGACTTCTTTCTGTGTCCACCCACACTGGGGACTCCCAGTAAGGATTGCTATGAAGAGCTCAGGTTCTAAGGATCCATGTTTGGACATTAGTGGGTCCATGGACCAACACATGTCGCTCATAAAAAGTGCCGCCCATGGGCGACCACTGCTCTCTTAGCCACCTCTTACCACCCTAGTGTGGGAACATTAAGCCTTTTTAGGTGTTCGGGGTGGGGGGTGGGGATGAGCAGGGGTTCGAAAAGGGCGGATAAACACAGTTATTTCCGGTAACCAGTTTGAAGCCATTGCGCCTAAATTAGGCAGCAGTTTGCCTCAATCTTTGATGGAAATTAAAAATGATAAAAAATCTTTTCAAGAAACATTTCAAAACTTTTTTTTTTCTTTTCAAAAGATTTTAGGACACCAGAGCGCTTTGAGCAGGCTAGAATAGCATGGCCACCATCGCAAATAGCATGGCCACCATCGCGAATAGCATGGACACCATCGCTATCCAAGTAATCAATCATCATCATGGCATGATGTAAGCGTGATGTGTATTCTCTGTGTTTAGTGGTAATCATGACGGTGACGGAACCAAAAAGTCAAGCCCCCCCCCCCCCCCCCCCCCCCCCCCCCCCCC